TTTTTCTTAGAAACCTTAAATTTTGAACGTAATTCAACAGTTACATATCAATAACCTTCCATCTATCAACTATCTGTACGTGATCAAAATTGACGTACTGTTAAAAAATGATCAACGTATTGCAACATTTTTGCCGATTAAAAGTTATTGACTGCACAGATTAGTTACCCTGCGTAATTTATTATTCGAAGAAGCTATTTCAGTCAAAATTTACCTTGCAGTAAAACACTGATGTTACTTTTTCGAAACCCTATACTTTTTTTTTTGCTTTAGTGGATCTAACAGTTCAAAATCCGTTGTCATTAACCTAGAAAATCATTTCAAAATTTTTCAAACCTCCTCAGACCTACTGACTAATTAGACAGTGAATGTCCAGCTAATAGAATTAAAAAATGCAGTAAAATAATAAAAAACATGTGCTGACTAGGCTGGAGCAGAAACATTTCTGTTATCAAACTCATTCCCGATTTTAGATCTTAAGCTTATTTTAAGCAGAACTCTGCTGCAGACTGTCGGCGCTGTTGTCTGAAAGCACATTTAACTCAACAGGTGCTGATCAAAGCTTCCGACTTCAAACTAAAAGTATCACTTTGGCGGAAAATCGATTTTACGTTGTATAGGCAGTAATTTTTCTAAGCTCACGGTCGGCATCACCGAAAACTCACCAATATTCCACTCGAGAGCCGACGTTACTTTGTTACAAAAACTGTTCATCGATTCCTGACACCAATTATATGGGCTTGATACTTTAACATCCATCCTATTGCTGTACCTCAACCAACCAATCCAAATTTACTCAACACTAATGAAAATTTTTTATCCCATTTAAAATTTTGCTGATTCACTTTATAACTGTTTAATCCTGATCCTTTAAATCAAATGCAACAATCACACGAGTATCAACGAAACAAAATAATAAGCACAAATTAGAAGACATGCTAAACCTGAACTGCTGCCAACAAGAAACAGACATGAATTGCAAAAGAATCCTGTAGTTCAGGAATATTAACCTACTGCAGAGTCACCTAAACTGATAAAACTTCAACTGAAAACTGAAGAAGCGTACTTGGACTAATAACCCTATGTTTTCTGATAGCATTACAACCGAAATAGCTGTAGAATACACTGTGACTTCAATGAGACTACACCAACAATTGCCATTAGGAAAAGGGTCACATTTTAACCGTAATCTTGCGATGTTTTTTAAAACAAAAAGCTCAAACTAACTACATTCCAAAATAAAAAGGTTTAAAATCGCTAAATATGATCTTCCCGCAACAAAGACAGCTATAACTAAAATATCTCAACAAAAACGAAGACTAAAAACGTAGCCTAAAATGTCCGCGTGCTGTTACTCAAACTACTTTGTTATTTTTTGTAACTAAAAAAGGTATCTCCAATAAATTTTCTTTCTCTTTATCATGAATGAGACCATTCTGAAACTGATTTTCTAAAACAATACGAAAGTAACGAACAAATCGGTATTAACAACTAGTAAATTTAAATACATGTAGACACCGATAATGCCTACCCAGTAAAACTATCTTCACAATACAAAGTAATAACCGGTTCAAAACAACAAACAAATATCAATATATACAAATAAAAGAATTTACAACAAAGTTCCACGCTTGTTTCGATTTCTTTTCTTTTCAGCATCGAGAATCTCTTCGCCAATACGATTCTTCGGCATACCCTTTCTTTTCATCTGATATTCTATCATTCTCGCATTCAATGTATAAGATTCAGCGATTTCATGCTGAAAAACCTCATAATAAAATCAGTTGTTAAAAAAAATGTAATATACAGAAGGAAAAAGTACTTACTGCTTCAAGCTCATCTTCAGCTTCTTCGACTGTGGACACTGTCACCGAACCAACTTTACCCTGGTTTTTCACATGCTTTGTCATTATAACCTGAAAAGCATCATTTTTAAACCCGTTGAACATGAGTCACAAATAATCTGGAAGCTATTGGTCTCTGCAGTCTCCCATTACTTAATTAAATATAAACTTATAACTTGTCAGGAACCGGAGAAATAAGTGATTATTAGCAAGTTAAAAGAGTAGGTGAAGTAGTTTTTTATAGGATTCTAGTCTAGTGTGCAGATAAAGAAACTCACTTAAAAAGCAGTCCTACTCGGATAATAAGCGAAACAAGTAACACCCAACAAAAAAGTGGAATTAAACAAGTAATAATATGCATACTTTTTTCACTGGCTGTTCTTCATTAGCTAGTTTCAAGCCTCCAACTTGCTGGGCAGAAAGCACAGCATCGTTGAATACAAATACGTATTTGAGGTTGAAAGGATGCTGATAAAACAATGCAGCACCACATTTGCGGCAATTCTTACGATACTGTTGTTCCAAACCTTCAGGTCTAAAAAAGATATGTAAGCTGGCAAAATGAACAAGAATTTTTTCAAAGTGACAATATAACTGTAAACAGCACTCACTTACCTTCTAACATAGACAGTCTCACCCTGATCGCAGAATGTCCTAGCAACAGTTCTTTGAGGATCGATTACACGTGCCTTATCGCGCTTCCTTAAAGGCATCCTTTGAACTAATGTGTCACTTATCATTGCCATCTAAAAATGAAAATTAACAAATTAAAGAGACATAAGCTTTGATGCTTGGTGCTTGTCTGTAACTGTTAAAGTGTTCCACTATCTACCGCTTCCATGGTTCGCATTGAAACAGCTCCTAAAGTTTTTCAAAAACAACTTCTTTGCAGGTTTTTCTAGAAATCTAGCAAAAACTCGTCTTAAAAAGTAAGTTGCATCTAGTTCTCTAGAAGAGTGCTGCCTCGAATAAAATTTTTACAAAACACGAAATTTCATCTTGTTAAACAATTTGTAAACAGCTGAACTCAGACCACCAGAGGAATAAAAATGAATCCTAAAAAATGCCAAAAATACCCTCTCTCGTAAGCCTAGAAATGAAGAGTTCTCCTTTAAAACGCTGGTAAAAATTTACAACAAATATCTCCAACTAAAGGAAAACATTGCTAAATGCTGAAAAAAAAAAAAAAAAAACTTGCGCTACTTGCAGGTATACGCTGTAATTACAACTTCAAAAACACACTACATCATTTTGTTCTCATTATATCTTTCTCAGGCTGGTGTGTTCTCCACCCTGTTCTAAACCAGCTGTATTTACAGTCTCCCCATTTTAATCGAAGTAACAGTCCACTTTCGTGCTTTACTTCCTTCCATATAAAATTATTACACCAAAAAATAAAGATGTGAATGAATAAAAAACCCTGCACCGTCCCACGCATCATATCCGAGTGATTGTTCACGGCCTTCAGTCACTACACTTGCGTTTGTCTCGCAATTTAATAATTTTCTTCTACTTCTAAACAATTTAACAAAGAGAAGACGGCAGCAATTGCGACTAAACCGTGGCTTTTTCAATTCTCAAATAAGGATATGAAGCCTAAAGTCTATTGCACTTCTCAAAATCACTTAAAATCTGGACCACAAAATCGGACAGATGAGACTGGCAAAAAATTAAAAGAGAAAAAATTAAAATTATGCTCAGTGTAACAATTTCTAAATGTCCCTCACAGTACTCCTCAAACAGCTTCACGAAACCACCAAAAAAAGTAAAACAGACTTTTTCATTTCAAGTAAGAATTTCAAGAGCGGCAAGATACTGGGTTTTCCTTATTTGTTTAACCTACACGACACCAAGTTGCACCATAGAACTGGAAAGCTTTGTCCTACGTCGTTTTAAAAACGTTCTACACTTACCAAATAATGCAAATAAAAACATCGTCGTTCTAACAAAAAGTGATACCCACTTGCTATGTCTAAAACGGCAAGAAAAATAATCCATTTCAACTTTCCTGTTACATGGTGGCATTACAATGCGACTACCTCTAACGTTTTACAAATCCCTGTACTTCTTAGCCAATGTATCTCATAACCTTTACTACCATTATTGAGATAACCGTTGTAAAATAAAGACACTTTTCAAATATTTCTTTTCAATTCAACTCTAAACATTTTTATCTGTTTGTAATGAAGCTCAGAAGATTCCATTCCCAACCACACATAGTGTAGTCATATTATAAGACGTACAGACAAAAGATATAACATAAAAAATAGCAAATTGACCTACTTGTCCACAATGACAATAATAAGTATGCAATGGTTTGACAAAATGTTCTTCACGATCCTGCTCATCAACTATTTTACCTTCACCACGGAACCGATCATCTTCCACATGTTCCACCTCATGTGGGTCACCCTCCATCATCGACGCCATTGTGATCTTCAAATTCTACGAGGCAGAAATTGCTCAGAAAAAAAATAAAATATCTGCGTCACCCCTGAAATATATATTTATTCATGAAAATTATATAAGTGTGAATATACGGATTACGTATATGTATGAGCAGTTGGTGGCCATAATTTTGGCACCATTAACGTAAACCGATGAAATCTGAGGACTCTAATTAGTTGCAACTCCGTTTTTTTGACGGAGACGTTGCAATTTAACAGTTTGTCACTGACGGCCATAACTCGCAATATAAATAGATTTCAGTTAAGTACCCCCCGACGTGTGAAAATACAGCTGAAAAAGACCTGTACGGAAGTTTTTGGCACGCGAGAAACCACACAATCCAATAAACTTTAGTTCTGCTTTTAAAAAACGTTAGGATGTTCTGTGTATAAGTGAATAACACCGGTAACAGCAAATTGAAACTGAGAATATTTCGTTCGGATGGCATTGTGCCAATAAGTTGCGCGAATAGAATTCGCAGTTTTTATTATCATTACAGCTCGGAAAAATACCAACGATCGCCCTTACTCTACCGGGGCTCCATATTTCCGAATAAACACGGTACAATTTCTAGACTCGCTCTTAGGATACACATCCTGGATTACATTGTGACCTATGAAAGGCAATAATACTTTGAAATCTTGTACTTTTACAAATGATTTTGATGAGCATGCTGTTCGTGTTAATAGTCGGCTTTGTTTTACGTTCCCTTTTCTTCACTTTTTTTAATTCCCTTACTGCTTGTCTTAATGGAGAGGGCGGATGTCTATTTGGGAAGTGACAAAAAAAATCTTTTTTCGAAGTTTTCTTGCAGTTGTTTTATCTCTCTCACCAAGTTTAAAAGTTCTTGTAATTTTGACCACAGGCTGGAAGATTTCCGAGAAATTTCATTGGATAACACAGCATGAAGACGTTTGTTCTAACGGCATGTCCGGTGAAAAAAATGACATGCACCAAATAACTTGTATTTACACACTTCTGTGGCTGCATACGATAAAAGGAGAACAACGGTTCTATACATATAATTATATGAGATATACATAGAAAATCATACGAACTGCCGATACTGGGGAATCAAATTTGTTTTCCAAGGTGTAAAGCAACTATGAAGCGTAAAAAAGTTTTCTTTTTTTTTTGGTGGAAATTGCCATGAAACAGTACAAGTTTCTGTCGATATTCTAGGTAAACAAGTGTGTCAAGCTAAAAACTAATAATAATTGTACATGCAATAAAAAAACTTGATTCCTGAGGTAGACTCAAATTTAACTCTCTACTCACATTTATAACGCAGTAAAAAAGAGCATTAAAAAATGACAAGAAAGTTTACAAATGTAAGGGCCAGAGCATCCCAACGTTTTTGAAAAGCAGAACTAAATTTGGTTGAATCGTCTGGCTTCTCACGTACCAAAAACTTCCGTACAGGTCTTTTTCAGCTGAATTCTCACACGTCGGGGAACAATCTTAACAGAAAACTGTTTATATTGCAGGTTATGACCATCAGTAACAAACTGTTAAATTGCAGCGTCTCCGTCAAAAAACAACAAAGTAACAACTAATTAAAGTCCTTAAATTTCATCGGTTTACGTTGACGGTAACAAACTTATGGCCACCAACTGCTTTTGAATGCATTATATGACTTTGATAAAGTGCTAAATATCTACAAGAAAACAACACAAATAAATTTAAAATAATACAAAAAATTATACCTTTAGATTATAAAAAAAAATCCTTTGTAGGGTTTTTTGCTGTACATTATATCGGGAATGAT